GTAGTACAAGAATTACACCAGAATGACGAAACATATATACAAATGTTACAAGAAAAAACTAGTTAGCAAAAAGAAATCACCAACAAGCGACTAATACAAGTACATACAACTAAACCAATACACAAAAAAAAAGAGAACAGCCTAACAGTACATATGATAGCATACAATGACACCAAGCAACAACATGAGTGTGTGAATGGAAACTCTGACAAGCGATGACTCTTAGTGACAACACCAAATATGACGTCTCCAACTGACAATACCAATATATAATGACTTCAAGGAAAGTACAGTACTAGCATATTTAAAAAAGAAAAAAAACATTGATCGAAGGTTACAAAAAAAAAAAAAATACTTAAATATATCTTGATTGTGTAACTGAGGAGTTAAGCATTTTTAAAGATATGTTAACTACAAAATAGCCAATCATACTTAATTCATGTAATTAATTACTTGATTATATACGAACATACGTACTATATTAATCTAATATAATAGATATTGTATATGCATATACGCTTTTTCATTTGACAGTCATGAAGGGAGAAGAAATAAGTGCATATCCTAAGGGCTCGCATATTTTTTTTAAAGGCATGCATGGATCATGGGACTATATAATTATAAATAAAGGTGTCTATCCTCCTTTACATAAACTTGCATATACTAAGAAACCGGAGCAATATGCTATTCCTGATCAGTATATTGTTCGTACAACATATAGAAAAAAAAAATATATCACAGAATGCTCTATCCAATATATCAATGACAAGCCATATTTTGCAATACAGTTTGACAAATACATAGTTCATTCAACAAAATCTTCATCAGACGCCGCAGCTAAATACTGCAAGATAAATAATTAATTTTAAAAAAATTTATTAGCATTAGCAATATTGTATTAAAAAATTAATATCTTTGAAGGGTTTTAAAAAGCTAAAAAATAAAGGAACTTTGTCAAGTAAAGATATTCAAGAAATAAATGCAAATACGATTAATAAAAATGAGAATAAAAAAAAAGACATTTAAATATCAGGTGTACAATTGTTTGGATTACAATTAAATTTTGTTCATATAGTTAGAAAAATATTACTATCCAATACCTATCTTAAAGTTCAACCCTTTAACAATCTCAGTAATTCTACTCAACGACGTCATATGTTGACAATGGCCAAACATGTATTTGATCAAGTTGAAATTTGTAAAGAAAACATTTTTCATAAAGATGATAAAGTTGAAATTAAACAAGCATGTTTTACTATAAATGATAAGCCATTTGAAATTCAATATGGAAAAGTTAACCAAGAAAAGATAGATGATTTGTATTTGGCTGTTCTAAAATCATTAGATAAAGGCAAGATATCTCGTGAAGCTTATCGATCATTAGCACGTATTAATCAAGATTTGCCAAGAGAGGGTGCAATATCAAATACACGTCAAAGACTTAATAAACAAATGCAAAATCTAGTTCCCTTATTACTTATAAATGTAGAAGAAACATCTGTTGCTTCTGAATTAACTGAAGATCATCCTCATATTACTGATCCTGACATAGTTAATAATATAGTTGAATCTGCTAGAAAAGGTGGACAGCGTTCTATAATTGATATATTAAATTTTATTGTACCTAAGTATATAAAAAAAGAACTTTTAATTCCAAATAATACTACTATTAAACTTCGTATATCTGGAGATGGTAGGAATGTAGGACGAAAGGTTCAGCATGTTATAGTAACGGCTATAATACTTAATGATATAGAAAGACTACATAAGCCTGAAGAGTATCATACACTTGTTCTTTACTCTGGATTAGAAAATTATCAATCTCTTCAAAATGCACTTTGCACATTAATTTTTGATTTAAACAATTTAAGAGAATCTGGATTTTACCAACTTAATAGCTTGCATTGGAATGTGGAACTTTTTTTTAGCGCAGATTGGAAGTTTTTAGTTACCTGTTTAGGATTTAATTCTGCAAACGCGAATTATTTTTGTTCATGGTGTACATGTACAAAACAGCAAAATGGAATTCTTGATCAAAATAATAAACTAGTTGGCGATTGGACAATTACCAAAAATATGAAACAAATAAAAAAAAATTTTTTTAACATTAAAGGGCATCAACGTGCACCCTTATTTGATATGATTGATCTTAAAAATTGGGTGTGTGATGAGCTACATGTAATGCTTCGCATTACAGATCGACTTTTTGAACTATTTTTATCTGATTTGCAACGAAATAGAGAGTTACAGTAGATAATAAAATTCAGCAAGAAATATTAGTAGAAATGAAACGAATTAGTGTAACATTTCAATTTTGGACAGATAAAAATACTAAAAAATTATGTAATACGTCTTTGATGGGTCCAGACAAACTTAAACTCTTACGTAATTTTAATTTTAAGAATATTAGTATTTGTTATTTACCAACAGTTAGACAAAATCAACTTAGAAAACTCTGGAATGGATTCGCTGAATTATATGATGATTTGTATCAAAAAAAAATAAGTGGTAGTAGTTTTAAAAAAAAAGCAATTGAATAGTTAGAATATTTTTTAACTCCATTTCAAGGATGTCTAAATAAAAATTTTGTGTGAGGACTATATCGAGCAACAGATTGTACTCCATATATGCACGTTTTAACCTATCATATTCCCGAATTTATTGAGATTCATAGAGATTTAGGATTAATGGCTTTTTCATGTTTAGCTTTAGAAAAAAAAAACCATATTCAAGTATGTCGATATTTTCAAAATATATTAAAAGATGGTGGACATGATCGGTCTAGAAAATTAGCAATTCTAAAAATATTAGAACACGAAAATCGGCAATTATTTTATTGGCAAGCAAATATTCCTAGTTATATTAAAAAAGCTACACAATACCAATTAGAATAACATTTGTTGAAATTAGAAATATTTGTGGAGTCGATTAAAAATAACAGTTTGACTAATAGAATTAGTAAGTATTAATTAAAATTAAAGCTAAAAAGATAAATATATATATATATTAATTTTTTAAAAATTTTTAAAATAGAGTATCGCTACGAGTTAAAATGTAAAGCATTATTGATTAAAGATTAGAGTAGGTTGGTTAAATTTTAGATTAATTGTATCTGCATAGAAGTATGTTGGGTGATAATGTTCTTTTACATAATATAAAGTAATAGATTAATAAATCGATTATTGTGGCTTGTAACCGCATGATTTTTGTGATGATGATCGGGAAAAATTTTTGAAATATGTTATTTTATATTTTCGATTAGTTATGTTTATATTTCTTTGAACAGCTACATCTTTTTGCAAATCGCAATAAATATTTATATATGTTATATGATCGTGGAGGAAATTCCTCCCGGTTAAGATTAGATTTCTCATCTTTGAATATTATACTTAGATTAATGAATTTTTTAACTTGTAAACTCAATGTTTAAATTCCTGCTACACCAATTTATTGAAATAGTAATAGCAAATTTAAAAATTAAATTTTTTATCTAATTCTGTTTCAATAACAATAACTAACGAATTTCATTTCTTTATTTTAGCTAATTTCAGATTTATTTTAACTTGGATTCCAAAATAATAAAAATAAGATTTCCTTCTTGAT